GGTTCTCGGACTTTAGAGTTTTGTTTTGTTTTGTTTTAAGAATCACCTGGGGAGGGGATCCCTGGGTGGCACAGCGGATTGGCGCCTGCCTTCGGCCCAGGGCGCGATCCTGGAGACCCAGGATCGAATCCCACGTCGGGCTCCCGGTGCATGGAGCCTGCTTCTCCCTCTGCCTGTGTCTCTGCCTCTCTCTCTCTCTATCATAAATAAATAAAAAAAATTAAAAAAAAAAAGAATCACCTGGGGATTGTTAAAACTGTAGCTATCCCAGTCTCACAGACTTAAGTGACCAAAATCTCTATATGGATTGGAATAAATAAATTCAGACCATTTGGATTTTAAAAAGCTCCTCGGGGTGCCTGAGTGACTCAGATAATTAAGTGTTTGCCTTCAGTTTGAGAGTTGTGATCCCAGGGTGCTGGGTTGGGGAGCCCCACGTCCAGCTCCTTGCTCAGCGGAGAGCCCACTTCTAATCTCCCTCTGCTTGTACGCTCGGTCAAATAAATAAAATCTTAAAAAAAAAAAAAAAAAGAGCCTCAAGTGATTCAGGTGAGTTGATTATTGCTTCTTATGCTACACTGTCATTAATACTAACTGACCACAAATACATAGTAGGAATCCCATGTACACCTACTTACTATATATGCCAGTGATGACTCTCAACCATTGACATGTATTATCTCATTTAATCCTTACAGCCCTGTAAGTAGGCACTACTGTTAATAATGCCCTCTCCTCACCCTTGTTTTATAGACTCTGCCTCTCTCTCTCTCTCTGTGACTATCATAAGTAAATAAAAATTAAAAAAAAAAAAAAGCTTTAAAACAAAGAGAGGACTTAACAGGCCCATGGCACAAAGTCACAGTGCTAGTAAGTGGCAGAGCCAGAACATACAACAAAGTTTGAAAACACTTGATACAGTTTCTTAACCTAAGACAACAGCTGTATAGTCTGGTCAGGTCACAGAAATTACTGTTTCATTTCAGATATTGCATTTAAAAAAACACTAACAAAAGAGAGTTGCCTGAAGAAAGCAGCGGAGGGAAAGCAGAGGGAAATCTGATTAAACCGCAAGGGGACAGGTCACCTGGCTGGTTCCATCGGTACAGCATGGGACTCTTGACCTAGGGGTTATAAATTCAAGCCCCATGGTGCGTGTAGGGATTACTTTAAAAAAATAAAATCTCAGGGTACCTGAGTCACACAGTCGGTTAAGTATCAAATTCTTGGTGTCATCTCAGGTGCTGATCTCAGCACAGAGCTGGCTTGTGATTCTCTCTCCCTCTCCCTCTCCTCTCCCCCTCCATGCATGCAAGTCTGTGCTCCCGAGCTCTCTCTCTCTCAAATACATACATCTTTTAAAGTAAAATCTTTAAAAAAAAAAAAAAAATGAGGGGACAAAGGATCTAGGGCTGTTTACATATTTCCAGCATAACTGGCATCACTTTGTAACATTTTATCCCCCTATTAGACTGTGAGCCCTTCAAGTATGAGGACCATGCAGTCTTTTCAACTGTACCCTTATGGTACCTGGTTTAATAAATTAATTCATCAAATGAATCTACAGAAGGCTTGATGACTGTCCTACGAAATGAAAGGCTATTATGTGAAGAAACAGACTTAATTCATGTTGCTTCAGCAAGTACAACCAAGAATAGGTAACGGGAGCAGCAGATTTTGGTACAGTCCAAACTAGCTTTCCAGTAACCAAGACCTGTTTAATAACAGAGAAGTACCTCTGCAACGTGAGGCTGATAATCAGAATAGAGTAGAGAAAAGGTAGGAGAGTGGTCTATGGAGCCCTAAGAGCTCTTCCAAAGCTCAAATTCTTCTATTCTAATTTATGATACTTTTGCTCAATCTTTCACATTTCGTACATTTACTGTGACTAGTTACACAAATCCTGGTAGTAAGTACAGAGGATACCACAGTGTTGTATAAACTCCCAGTGTCAAGGATTCTAGAGGAGAATAAAAGCACAGGCATCACCCTTTCAGGGAGGGAGATAATGGATACAACAGTAATCAGCAAGGAATGAGATTTCCAGGCATGAATCAAAAGGGAAGTCAACACAGGCATTAGGAAAGAAAGCCATCAGGGTGCCTGGGTGGCTCAGTGGTTGAGCATCTGCCTTCAGCTCAGGTCTTGATCCCAGGTCCTGAGATCAAGTCGTACACTGGTTCCCCACAGGAAGCCTGCTTCTCCCTCTGCCTATGTCTCTGCCTCTCATGAATAAATAAAAATCTTAAAAAAAAAAAAAAAAAAGGAAAAATGCACCATCATTTGAGTACCCTGGAGCCATATTTTTAGAGATCCATGGGGGTAGGTAGATTGGGACTGCCATTAACAATCTCTGGGAAAAAAGCAGGCAGTATGTCAGTAATGGTCTGAGCATAAAGGAGGCAGGAAACCCTAGGGTGATGAAGACCCACCAGAAATAATGACTAAACTCTGGCTTAAAAAGAGAAGAACTTTGGAGGTCATTTAGTCAAACAGGTTGCCCTGCTTGCACTGGATAAAGAAAGGTTTGTTTACTTTCTTAAATTACATTTTACAAACCAGATATTCTATCATCAATGACTTGTCCTCTGCTTAGTTTTGAGTCTTTTTTTTTTTTTTAACTAATAGATCCTTCTCTTATTTTCTAGGAAACATTTTAGATGATTGTTTTTCCCGCAGTTATCAAAACTGGCAGTTTTAATACTCTTAGTCTAATATTATAATTTCTCAAATGGCTGTAATATTTACCAAGAATACTACATTAAAAGTCTTGTCGTCTAAAATCTTATGATTTTATAAATAGAAGATTGTTAAGAAGAAATGGAATCTCAGAAATAAATTTAAGTCCCAGATCCAAGAAACTATCTCTCACTCAACTTATAAATTGTGGGACTGAGCCCACCTAAGAAAACAGAATTAACAAACTACTGAAGCAAAAAAAAATCTAAATCCAAAACCAATGAACATAACACACATGAACAATAAACTTAATGTTCTTTGGCCAATCATTTCTCAACATCCCTGTCAAACTATTTTAAGGATCTGAAATCTTGCTCTATAAAAAGTAAGTTCCCATCATCGGAACTACACTTAAGAGATTCTATCGGAGTGGTTACTGAAGCGTAAACACCAAGCTTCAGTTTTTTTCTTTCCTTTCAGTATAAAAAAAATGCTTGCCTCCTTTAGATAAAGTTGAGTCTCTGGCCCAAATCCTGACATACCAGGAGATCTAGGTTTTCAGTTCTAACCCTAATTTAAGGTGCAAGGTTAGCATAGGCCTTTTTCCATATTTACCACTTAGATCGTAACATGGGGATATAATATTTGACAGCTCCACCACTGATGGTCACTGCAAAGGATTTCTCAGTTTGGTTAACCTTAGTAGGGAGGACATAAAGCTAGGGCTGAAAACATGGCAAAAACTAAGACTTTAAAAGCAAAAATAGTGCTGCTGCATGCATGTTATTAGCTAACAAGCCAGGAATTACAGAAACAGATTCGAGTGACAATTACTAAGAAAGGTGCAGTTACACGATTCTACAAAAATGAGTAAGAAAACAACTCACAAAAATTTGAATCTTTCTTAGCAAATGGGGAAGATAAATAATATGCACTAATTCTGGGACATTGTGGTTTTTGTTTTTATCGATAATGTCTCTGCATCAATGTTACTTATTCTCCCACTCCCTCTATGAGCAAAAGGAGCCCACTGTCCAGGATCCCTCATACCAAGGGCTCGGTGAGTGTCACAAATAATAACAGTAATAAAAGCAACAGTCTCCAAAGCTGGAATTTCTACGGGACTGTGGCACCAGAACAGGGGACACGGCACATGGCAGCATGCAACTATTTCTCCCTTCTGACTCTTCTGCATCACTGCCTCCCAAAGGACTGGAGAACCCAAAAGCTCTCACTGCCACATCTACAAATTAAAGTCTCCCGACCAAAGAACTCACAGAGGTTCCATGCACGGCCAGGGTCTAATGAACGAACCCCACGAGAGAGAAATTCATCCGGATGCAACAAAACATGCTTCAAAAGGCTCTGCCTAAATTGTTTGTTTGTTTTGTTTTGTTCTTTAATCTTAGGAATAAACACAACTGTCTTAATGACATTATGCAATAAGTTAAGGCTCTGGAAAACCCCACACTCATCCGAGCGGCCCGGAACATGGAAAGCAAAATTCGATTAGCTCCATTGTACCCAACCAGGCTAACGTGCAAGATCACACACTCGCCTCCGTCAGGGCGGCTCTGCCAATACCGAAGAACAACAAAGGCAAGTTGAGGAGGCTGCACTAGGCTTAACTCAGCACTTGTCGGTGTCCCTGTGCCCGCTCGGGGCGGCAGCTCTGCGCGGGCCCCGGGGGCCGAGGGACCCTGCGCATCCCGCCGGGGCCCGGCCCGGCTCGGCCCGGCTCGGCCCGGCCCGGCCCGGCCCGGCTCGGCTCGGCTCGGCTCGGCCCGGCGCCGCTCGCGCAGCTTTTGTCTGGCCCGGCCGGGAGCCCCGGCCGCCCGCTCCCCGGCGCCCCTGCCCTCCGGAGCCTTCTCCACACCCATCACTCGCCGAGGACTGGCTGTGCGCTTCTCCCCTCGCCCCCTCCCCTCGAAATCCCGGGCTCTGTTCAAACGCGACCGGCCGTTCCGCTGGCTCCTTCCACGGCGCGGGGAAGACCCGGGTCAGGAAGGGGCCCAGGGTGGGGTCCGGGCGAGGACGCGAGTCCGGGGCGCACAAAGCCGCGCTGACCCCGCGGCCACCCCCCCTCCCCCTGCAAAGCAGCCTGGGATCAGCGAGCGACCCGCCAGCGGGACAAACAACCCTCCCCCCGCGCTCCCCGCCCGGCCCCCCCCAGGGCCGCCCCCTCCCCCCAAAGTGCCCCCGAGAGCCGATGACAGCGCCGGACCTCGCCCCCACCCAGACCCGGCGCCCGCCGCCGCAGGCGATGCGCAGAGGCCTCGGAGGGCTCCGTCTAAAGATCCTCGCCCTAACCGGGTACTTACCGCCGTATTATTCGCTACTGTTGCCGCTGCAGACCAGACAGCCGCCGCCTTCTCCTCCACCCCAATGAGGTTAAGCGCCTGGTGCGGGGATTAAAAAAAAAAAAAAAAAAAAAAGAAGCCGAGAGCGCCTGCGCAGTGCAGTCTCCCTTTTACCGCCACCAACCCGGCTGGACCATAGAGAGCGCAAACCAAGACCAGAGAGGCGGCTGCTCTCTATGGTGACGCCCCGCGCAGGCGCAGGCGCAGGCGCAGGCGCAGGCGCAGGCCCGGCCGCCCTGGGCTTCGGGAGCTGCAAATCCCGGGAGCTCGTTCCTCCTCCGAGAACGTTAATTGACCCCGGTAGGGACCCGTAGGGTAAAGGCTCTTTAAGGGAAGAGTGAGCCGGGTGCCTCTGGGGCCTCTGGGAAGTTGCGGCAAAATTCAGGCTAGGCCACGAGGCTCGGATGTGAGAGCCGCGGAGACGGAGAACCACAAAGCTGGGAGCGCAATGAATAGAGTTGAGAGGGAGTCAGGAAAGCCCGGATAAAAGTCGTCCGGCCGGGACTTCCTGCGGCCGGGGTCTAATGCCCGCCGGAAACGGACTTCCCCTTCTGGGTTACGCGCGTCCCGCCCCCACCACGGGGCGACCGAGAGGAAGGAAACTGTGCCCTGCGGCTTTCCGTACCGCGGCTGGCGACCGTCCTCGCTTCCCAGCTCCGCCGGGCGCCGGCGCCCGAGCCGGAAGCACAACTCGGAACGGTGCGCGGCGCGCCTGGGAGCGGAGCCGCCGCGCGGAGGCCGCGGAGGCTCCCGAGGAGGCCGGCCGCAGCCCCTTCTTCCCGGAGCGCCCCCGCAAGTAACGCTCGTTCTGTCTTCGCTCTCGCATCACGTTCGGATGACACGTGAGAACGTGTTTCGGAGGGCAGAAAACTGTGCGAATAATAGGGCCGCCTCTGAGGACCCGAAGGACCCGCGCTTTGCCGTGTCAAGCCCCTGTGTTCGCAGGTAATTTGACACTTGAGAGTTTTTGCCTGGAATCACACGCTGCGTGGACGAAATCCCTCTCCGGGACTGAGTCGACCTCCCTCACGCTCGATGCCCAGCGCGCCGAGTTTTCACGGGCAGCTCGAGCTCCGCGGTGGCGGAGGGTGCTCGTGTGGGCACAGGGGCGCGGGAGAACGGCGAGGTGACGCCCCTGCTGCGCGGGGCTCCGCGGCTGTGCTCGCAGAGGCCTCGGGTCTCGGGGAGGCCCCCCGGCTTGGGGCGAAAGGCGGACAACCTGAGAGGAGGAGGAGCTCCTTAGGACAGAGGCTGAGAAGGGAGGCGGGGGGGGGGGGGGGGCGGGATACAGGGGAAGCGTACAGAGGAAGGTCTGAAAAAAGGGATGGGAATTTTTTTTTTTTTTTTTACTTAATATGGTAACATACACATAACACAATTGATGGTTTTAACCACTCCTAACTGCATAGGTCAGTAGAGTTAAGCGCAGGGACATTGCTGTGCAGCCGTCTCTGGAACTCTTCATCTTCTAAAGCTGCAGTTCTGGACCCGATAAACAACTCATTCCCCACTACCCCCACGCCCTGGCAACCACCATTCTGCTTATGTTTCTGAATTTGACAACTCGGATACCTCCTATAAGGGGGATCATAACAGCGTCTGTCTCTGTGACTGGCGTATCTCACTCAGCGTAAGGACCTGGAGATTCTTCAATGTCACATGTGTCAGAACTGCCTTCCTTTTTAAGGCTGAATTATGTCCCATTGCGTTTATACACCGGGATAGATAGTTGGGTTACTTACATCTTTTTTTTTTAATAGGTTTTATTTATTCATGAGAGACACAGAGACACAGGCAGAGGGAGAAGCAGGCTCCATGCAGGGAGCACAAAGTGGGACTCGATCCCGGGACTCCAGGATCACGCCCTGGGCCGAAGGCGGCGCTAAACCGCTGAGCCACCCGGGCTGCCCACCTAACACCTTTTAACTGTGGTGAATAATGCTACCGTGAACATGGGTGTACAAACATCCCTGGGACTGCTTTCAATAGAATGAGGAGGACTTAGAAAACATGTAGAGGGACACCCGGGTGGCTCAGCAGTTGAGCGTCTGCCTTCCGCCCAGGGCTGATCCTGGAGACCCAGGATCAAGTCCCACATCGGGCTCCCTGCATGGAGCCTGCTTCTCCCTCTGCCTGTGTCTCTGCCTCTTTCTCTCTGTGTCTCTCATGAATAAATAAGTAAAATCTTAAAAAAAAAAAAAAAAAAAAAAAAGAAAAAAGAAAACAAGTAGAGAAAGCTATATTTTCCAAGTCCTGGACTGGGGATAATAATATGGTAAAAGAACTGTTTTAGGAAGTGACCTGGCAGTGGAAGCCCAATACATATTTATACAGAGTATTTATTGGAGGCTTTAAGATGTCCTAGGCATTGTACTACTGCTTTATGTAAAGTATTGATATGTCATTGGATCCATCAAAATAAACATGAGCCAATTGTTATTCACATTTACCAGTGAGAAAAATCAAGGTTCTGGGTTACAGATGGGCTACAGGAGACTCAACCAACCACACATACAGATAAGTCATTAGGAAACAAAATTCCCATGGGAGCCAGACACCCATGGGCCCTGACTACTTACCAATTGAAGGATAAAGATTTTGAAAGAAAACAATTTAAATGTTCAGAGTGAGTCTTCACAAGAGAAAGAACTGGCTGACATCAAGCGCTTTCACAGTCAAATTACTGGTCTTATAACGGCTTAACACAGCAAAATGGCATGATCTGCAGGTCCCTAAAAGGACTCTGGTTTCATTCGAGGTATATTCATTACCTTTAAAAAATCTAAAATGCAGACAGCCAGGGTGGCACAGCGGTTTAGTGCCACCTTCAGCCCAGGGCCTGATCCTAGAGACCCGGGATCGAGTCCTATGTCTGGCTCCCTGCATGGAGCCTGCTTCTCCCTCTGCCCGTGTCTCTGCCTCTCTCTCTCTCTCTCTCTCTCTCTCTCTCTCTCTCTCTCTCTCTCTCTGTCTCATGAATAAATAAACACAATCTTCTTTAAAAAAATCTAAAATGCCAAGTAAGTGTATCTTTGTATGTACTAGAGAGAGTAATAAGACATGACATTTCCTATTCAACATTTCATCTTCATTTTACATTCTCAAAAACCCTATAGGACCGTTCAAAACAATGATACATTTGGCAGGGGAGGAAACAAATGGCCAGAAAGGAAAAATGATTAGCACAATGTCACATGACTTACTGGTACCAAGACTGTAATTGAAATCTGAACCTCTAGAATTCCCACTCTCTGCTTTGGTCTCCCTTACAAAGATAATACCATAGTCTTGAGTGGACAGTGTTTCTATTCAATCAGTCTCATCTTCCTCAGGGATACATGCCCAAACTCTTAAGAAGCTAGCACCAATTAACCAGTAAAGCAGAGAATAAGTACATTTTAAGTAGCATTCATACACTTAGATATATTGTGTACAAACTATGTGCCAAACACTTAGCAAAGCAGATACCCATATTCTCATAGGAGATAGAAAATAAAATTGTAAATATAAACTATGTCAGGTAGGATAAGTATTTATGGGGAAAAAATGAAACAGTAAAGGAGAAAGAAGTGCTGAGGATAGGGAAAGAGGTTTCTTTTTAAATAGGACTGGTGGCGGGGAGGGCCCACTGAGAAAGTACAGATCGGGAGGAGTTGAAGGAGGGAGAAATGTCCATCTTGGGAGAAGAGCCATCCAGGTAGAAAAAACGGCAAGTGCAGAAATCATTCTGAGGGAGGAGGATGTCTACTATATTCTAAGCACAGAAAGAAGGCCAGAATGACAGAGGCAGAGTGTGGCAGGGGAAAAGTAGGAAATGAGGTCAGAGGTAACAGGATGCCAAATTGTGTAGGGATTTACAGGGCATTGTAAGAATTTTGATTTTTACTGAGAGGGGAAGCCATTGGAAGATTTTGAGCAGAGAAGTAAAGTGACTTTATTTTTAAAGAATTACTTTAGCTTCTGTTTTGAGAATAGACTGTTTAGGGAACAAGGGACTTTTGAGAATACATTGTAGGGGAGTAAGAGGGACGGTTTAGGAAGCTCTTGCAATTCTGCAAGTGAGACGGTGGCTAGGGAAAAGTGCAAGCAGTGGAGTGGTGAGGTGTCGATATATACAGACAGGATGGTACACGGGGTTTAATAAATTGGTTGACATATGGTGTAAGCAAAAGGGTAGTTAAGGGGATTCCCAATATTTTTGACTGAACAGTTTAAAGAATGGAGTTGCCATTTATTGAATGGCAGAGTCCGGGAGGAGCAGATTGGGAATGGGAAGCAATAAATTCAGCTATGGAGATGTTAAGTTTGAAATACCTATTAAAGGTCACCCGGGTGGCTTAGTCGATTAAGTGTCCAACTCTTGAGCTCAGCTCAGGTCTTTTTTTTTTTTTTAAATTTTTATTTATTTATGATAGTCACACAGAGAGAGAGAGAGGTAGAGACACAGGCAGAGGGAGAAGCAGGCTCCATGCACCGGGAGCCCGACGTGGGATTCGATTCTGGGTCTCCAGGATCGCGCCCTGGGCCAAAGGCAGGCGCCAAACCGCTGCGCCACCCAGGGATCCCTCAGCTCAGGTCTTAATCTCAGGGCCATCAGTTCAAACCCAATGTTGGGCTCCATGCTGGATGTGGAGTCTATTTTAAAACCAACATTGAAATGACTACTAGCACATAGAAATACCAAGACAGTTAGATATTTGGAATCTGGAGTTCAGAAGAAAGGTCTAGGATGGATATGTAAATTTGGGAGACACAAGCACATAAAGAGTATTAAAAGCCATGAGATCGTCTAGCTATTAAGTGTAGACAAAAATTTGACAAATTTAAATAAAGACTGAGCCCTGGAGCACTCTAGCCTGTAAAGACTGAGATGGTAATGAAACCAGTAAAGGAGACAGAAAGGTCAGCCACTGAAATAAAGGGAAGCCAGGAAGAGCAACCAAGTCAATTGCTAATGGGCTTTAATTGACTATTGCCATAACATTGGGGTGGTGAGGATGGAAGCCTGATTGGAATGGGTTCAAAAGAGAGTGGTAGGAA